AAATACGGGACCGGTATCAAAATTCAAGTTAATTAAGAGCCTCGTTAAGAGCACTTTTTCGAGATAAGGCCCAGCTCAATCGGTAGGGGTTTTGCTTACTCAATTGACCCGTTGCTTATCGGTGCTGTCCGGCTCTAAGTCGTTAAATCAGATTTTCCGTCTTTGTTTTATTTAACACATGGAATGGGATCATTTTCTCCATGCCAAGAGCTGTCGGATGGTGTACAGTACATCCCTACGCGAACCATTTCAAAACGGATGACGGTATTATCGGCGGCTACGAAAAACTTTCCTGTTAATTCCAATTCCTAAAGCAGAACTAAATATGTTCAGAGCTATTATGGTCTTCGAATCACCTCGAGTCCATATACCGGGTGTTCCTCAACGCAGGTAGCTTCAAGGCAGTGATGAGTGCACTGATGCATTTTTGCATTTTTCAAGAGAGGTGACGACGAGGATTTGTCTTTCATTTCCCAACTGACGAAGGAGGTTACTTGTTACGAAAAAAAGGATTAAAGATATTCTTCCAGCACTAGCTAGATTTTAGACAAATGTTGCTGCTGCAGAGGAGTATATAATTTCTGAAAAGTAATGGCATTTTAACCCTACCTGTCATTACGCTTGTATAAATAATGCAGTTGCTGATGCCAAAATTTGTATTCATATTTGGAATTTACCCTTCTTGTATCGATACATCCATTATATCTTTATCTTTTTACGGCTATATCTAAAATTCATACTATAAATTTGTTTAACCCTCGTAAATCACTTCATTCCACGCGTTGAAATTTACATGATCCGTATTCTTAAAAATTTAACGCTTGTTATTTATTACACTATATTGGTAACCATTTTTCGTACATCAACTCGAACGTTTTGTATATCATGCGAAAGGACGTAGAAGACTGCTTGAGAAATCTCGTGTAAAAGGAAATTGAAACGAAATAGGCAGGTAAGGGGCCTTTATCAATAAATATATGTAAATACACTACAATAGGTTTCCTGAGATTCTTCAAACAGGAAGAGTTGAAATTTTAAAGCGATTTTTGACAATTGAACGGACAAATAATTTGTACCATTTCATCTGTGACCTGCGATTAATTATAGAGAATCATAGATTCCTTCAAATGTCAATCTGATAATATCGTTGACTTTGGTAATAAATTCCGCAGAGAACCCGAGAGAACTTTCTTCCCTTCGCTAAAAATGTCCCCCGTGCTGCTATGGAGGATTGGAGCAGTTGTGGTACTACAGTAAGTTGTGTACTAGTGCGTCACTTTAATAAATAGTAGGTACTGATGCAATTTATTGCATAAACGAGTATGCAATTGGGCAAATTAATAATTACTGAATGTCGAAATTTGTTTTAATTTTTAAATGTTTCATCATTCTAATGGGACCTCACGAATGTAGTGGGATCCATCGTATTTCTGTGAAAAAAAAACTTTTTCTGCAAGAATCGAACACGAGCCGCCCGGTTGTAAGCCAAGTATCCTTGCCACTAGACCATTATGGCACACATTCAGTCAGTTATTAAAGTGAGTTCGCATTCCGAAATAGTTGTGGGGAAGGGTCAATTTTCGCATACAAGCGGACGCGTCTGCCGTTTACAAACATGCGACCCACGCAGGCAAGTTTTAAAATGTCTGAATCGTTCGTTTGGCCCGCCAATTAAAAACGTGGAGCAGCCCTTTTCCATACATTCCTAAATCTTACTTAATTAAATGTCCTCACTATTGGAAATATTGTAACTACACAAGCTTTTTTGGTGCGCCGCGTACTCTTAATCATTTTGTGTACTAATATACCTATCGTCACACACAAAGTATCTTGAAACGACAAAATGTTCTTTTCGTAATGTATAAAATTAAGTCAAAGCTTTCAGGGTTTTATATACCTACTCGGAAGTAAACCAAAATTTCTTGTTACTGAAAACCACAAGCTATTTTTCGCATAGTATTACAAGAACGTTTCACTAAATTAATCGACGCGGTGATTTTATTACGCTAATTTTGTATAATTTCTTAAATTCGAGTAAAGACGGTAAGGGAGCTAAACAACGGCGTCGGTATTACTTATTGTACTTATTGTTTATAATGATACAATGGAAGCCCGTGTATTTCCAGTACTTTTCATTTATACGTCGTCGGTGTATCATGAATGGAACGAAAAGGTTGCCACTAAGTTAATTGAATTGCTGGGACAAAAGCTTTCTGCTTCAGCACCTACATTTTTCCAATTTTACTTCTGTTGTTAAATTCATAATCCCTCGATACGTGTTTCAGTGGAAAATTTACGCGTTCCAAAATTAAACACGAATAGTATAAAATAAGTTGTCACTTGCTGTTGTAGCGGAAAAATTGAAGTCTTTGACTATACAAACAGCTAAAACACACTTATCGCGACGAAACTTAATTCAAAGTTAGGGTTTTGGTCTGATACAACAGATATCCCAAGCAATCAACAATATTTTTGCTGTAATGGTCTTTTATGCAGTCACAAATCTATTCGCTTTATACCTTCTTATATGGGCTGCCTTGGACACCCTGTATAAAGTGATTAATTCGTGCTGTATGTTACATTTACCAGATCAGGTACCTTATCTGCTGAACACAATACCATGCTGTTGCAGTAAGTATACGTTTTCCCAAATTACATATACCTATCATCGATAATTTTATCAGGCGTTTTTCTAGCCAATAAACTAATCAGGGGGTTCAATATTCCCCACCTCCCGAAATTCACAAAAATAGCTGAAAATAATTGAGGAGCGTCAAAAGTGAATAATTATGAAATAGGTAATTACCTATATAGTTGTGTACACAGTGAAAAGTTGCCTTCTGAGCAAATTTTATTTTGAATATATTGTGTTCCAGACAAAATGTTCACCCTGTGTATTTTACCAACATTAATATTTTTATTATTTGTATTCTTCTTGAATAAATTGTAAAAATATACGATTTTAATGTAAATAACCTAGTGTTTAGAGATACGTAATATGTATACCGGGTGAATCCAAAACTGAACATATAGGCAATTAACATTAACAAATTTTGAAAATTAAGAGCCACTTGCAGAAACAAAACATTGTATACCTTCAGAATATTTAAAATACCTATAAATTCGGTAGGAAAAAAAGCGATTTTACACCCATGACAATCTAGAATCATTTCTTGATTCACATCTACTAAAAAAACTGTATTAAACAAGATTTTGCCAAGTTTTTATTCCCTCGTGGTACATGATTCGGCCAAGAACTAATTTTTTCTCGATTATTCCAAATGACCTGTTCTGGTTTTGGAAAACGATGCACTATGTGGTCTAATCTTCCTATTTTACACAACGCAGCAAGATACTGTAGGCACAATAGTGTTTTTAACGCATGTGGAGTTTTTATTTGAATTGTGGTGAATATTTGTTAGAGCTGGCTGGCTGGCTGTGCGGCTGCGATCTCCGCAATTACATTAGATTACAAGTGAGATCGATAGAAAGTAATTTCAGTAGGAAGAAGTAAACAAATACACTTTTTTCGTTATAAAATGACAAATTCTATAAAAAAAGCTTTTGATAAAAGTCTGATTTGTTCCTTTGAACTTTGCTAATAAAATACTGATCTACCAAAAATGCGCTATAACCATGCATGCCCATTTACTTCTGTTTTATTTTGTGCGCAGCAGTTGTCAGAAAATACATACAATTTCTTTATATTATTATCCCGAATGTTTGTTATACAGGGTGTATCATTTCGAGCGATAAAACCCTTCACTACGTGATTCCGCATTATCTTCTGAGTAAAAAATATGAATTTTCCTCTAGACGACTACTACACCCTGTATAATGCTGCAGGAACGCCTTTTTTGCTATATTTTCGGTATACATCATATAAAAAGGGAGACTTGATTTTTAGATGGATGCACACAAAAGTTATACATATACATAAACAACCGTCTTAAATAGGAAGGTACTTTCGGCAGGGGCATATTCTGCTGAACTGAAAATCGACGCAAAGTACTACATGTTCCTTTGCTGCTTTTGAAGAGTCTTTCATTTCTTTATAAATCAACTCTGACTAATTATAATAATCATACTTATTCCAATAAAATTAGAACTTCATGGAATAGATTTAGCAAACGTTTCAATTACATCTACACTATGAGAAAACAAAAAATATTTCTACAGGGCGTAACGGTGTCCCTTTTTGTCTCGCTTTTTGTGGATAAAAAGCGCATTTTAAATTTTTGAAAAATCTTTGAAAAGAACTGAGAAATCACCGAAAAATTGAAAATGTGAAATTTCGTTTTCATTTTCCCTAGGTTCGACGGTTGGAAATGTCGGTTCCCGTTAGCACTTTTTTTTCGGAGAATCTGAATCTGAATTATCAGAATTTCCATTTAACATGTTATATGCAGAAGCGACAGGATACTCTTCTTATTCCCTAAGAACGCCATATTCGATTTTAACGGAATGAGAGGACAAAAAAGAAAAATAATGACGTGTCACACTTTTTACGTAAATTTACCAGAAAAATGTAAAATTCAGATGTTTTACATTCATTTCTCACCAAAACATTCACAGGTAACTAGATGTTGCTCAATGAACATGGATATGATGGCGGTGCATTCAAATTAATTTCTTTTTTTAGCCTCTATCGGATTTCGTAAAAATCCAATATGGCATCCATAAGAAATAAGCAAGCTTCTACATCTAGCGTTCTATTGAAATTCTGATAATAGATTCAGATTCTCCGTGCCCATAGAAAGCGTTAACGTCCTTTTCCGACCGTTTAAGCTAGACAAAATGAAAACCAAATTTGACATTTCCAGTTTTCAATGATATGTCAGTTATTTCCAAAGATTTTTTAAAAGTGTCTAATTGAAGCCACGAATTTAAACCACACTGTACAAAGAAAATGATACAAAAAAAAGAAATTATAATTAGATTAACGTAATATCAACGACCTAATGAAATATTTATTGATAGCCCAGGCTAACAATTGGAAGAGTTCGTCAAATAGGCGGTCTACCACCCCTCCTATAACTATAACAACAACATAATCATGCATAAAATAGCCACAAATTAAAATGTTATATCTAAATTCATAACAAATCTCCAGGTTAGTAAGTATAACTATAAGTAATTGATAATAACTCTAAAATACAAACACATACAAAATAACAAAAAAAAAACATAACAAATTGCAGATAGTAACATTTCTACTAGGATTAATTAAATTCAATAAACTATTTTTTAAGTGCGTAAAAATATAGCATAATAGATAAAAGTACCCTGAAATTTAGTGGTTTTGTCACGTGGAGTATTAAATGTAGAGGTTTTTTCACCTCTAGAGGGATACGCTCAAAGCATCGTTCTTCATAGTGCATCAACTTAATATTCAAATCTGCAGTTAAATAACACCTCTTCGATTTTTCTTGGCTGTAATGGAACTCAAAGGTGTGAGACTGATCTGCGATCTGATCATGATCACGCACTTGCTCAACTATATTTTCTGGAGGTGCATTTGGGGGTGTAATATTTGCGTACAAATATGCTCCAGCCGCACTTTTCCAATTCCATGTAGGTATCTTGCATATAGCCATTTTACAGATTCCTTGCTCTAAGTTGGGTAGTTTCATCTGGAACAAGAGGTGATGCGTCATTATACAATAGACGTTGCATATTACGTAACACAAATTTTGAGCTCTTCCTTTTTGGTTGTAACACAATGAAAGTTACATGGTACCTATGTTCATTGTTCACAATTAAACTATGACGCCGATTTTTTTTGCGATATTTTGGTAGTCGACCAATAAATTCATTTGCTACTTCATCAACGTTAATGCGAGAACAGAAAAAGTAAAAATTACTTCAAGTTGATGATGGTTAACCGGTGACGAAACTTCGGATTTAAAATTTAAAACTATCATCTTGTAGAGGGCAAAAAGTGGCCATAATAATGTGTCATTTATTTTGAAAAAATTGTTTAAATAACTTCAGTAAAAAATAAAAACGATTTTGCAAAATTTCTTTTTTTTCCGGATATCTCCGAAAGTAGTCGGATTTTGTTCAGTTTCAAAACTGCATTTTGTTATGCATCAAAATACGCCACTTTGCCAAATTTAAACTATATAGTTATATACCTATCTCTTACAGTTCCCGAGGTCCCCATGGTGGCCCTCGACTTTGAATCAGTCAGTCAGTATGTATAGCATTAACATTCAAATTTTTGGTTCAAACGACTTAAAAATTTACCTCGGGAACGCGAAAATTAAGTGTTGATGATAGGCAGCTAACAACACTTTAAGTCTCCCATAATTACCCGATTTACTAGTTTGGTGTAGATAGGAAAAGTAGTATTTTGTTCACAATTTTCTTTTGAACACTCGATTTAAGAATAGGCAACTTTACATACTCCATTATGATGATAAAAATCATGTACCGTTATTTGTCCTAGATATTACTTAGGTGTATGTTGTGTTGCTTATGGGTTGAAAACCTTGAATTTGCCAATAGGTTATCATCCATTGTAGCGTTTTTCCAGAAGAATCAGTTAATAATGAAGTTAATATGACACATAGATAAAAGAAAGTAGATAAAAATGTAACCGCGTTAGATAATGTTCCAGTAAATTAGCTACAAATGATGTTAAATTTCCCAATTATCTTCCATATACAAGAGGTATCTCTTAAATTTTCTTTCAAAAGACCTCCTAGGTATGAAAGACAAATCGGGAATAACTACATAAAATAATTATATAACTAAAATCATGTACCTATACTAGGCAGATCACTGACTATAGAAGCACCTGACCCGCTTTAAATACAACCGTTGGGATACTTATATCTACTGTGCTTGAAAATAACTTCTCAGTTATCAAAATGGTGTTCTCTGAAAAAACTTCCTCGTGTTATGGCCTAGGAGCTGGCCGGTTATTTAGTGATAATGGCATTGCAATAATTGTTTTGAGGGTGTTCCAAGAAAATGTGCAGGCTCCAATCACTGCTGTCCTGTCAACAGCATCGCAGTAGCGGTTATATCTAAGCTCGCTTCCTCTTTTCTGGACTTTTTTAGGACAGCTGCTCTTTATCGTTCACCATAGTGGGTCATTCTAGTATTCAAATTTGGAGTACTTTAATTTATTCCTCATATCCGCTCAGTATATTTTCCAAAGATTAGCGCCTGCCTCCGGTCCATAGGTTGTGTGATCCCATTCCGAGTTTGTTCCTTGTATCACTCTGCTCACTGTATCAGAAAGTCTTTGTGTCTCTAGCTCCATCAGCAGGCAACTTCTTGAACCGGAACTGATTGTAAGCGGCACATTGTTCTGAAAAGAAAATGAAGTATAGTAAAGGATATTTAATAAATTATAATATGGGATTGCCTTTCTACTGAGAACCCACTCATGCATTTAGTTCTTCGTCAATTAGTCATAAGCTTCGTTTGGTCGAGTACCTACTACATAGGGTGCGTTTAAATAGACTAAACACTAAACTAATATTTTATATATATTATTAAAACCGTGGAGACTGACATGATTGGCAGGTGTTAGTGAAAGAAATCTCTTTTCACCACATCAACCAATCAAGATGTCGACTGTGCTTGAAATGACCCAGCTATTCTTTGATTTCGGTTTTTGCTCCTTATGGATTATTACAAAATTAATTTATGTCTATTTTTTTTAGGTAAGTCGACCAGCCTCTGTATGTCCAACGTGGTTTAGTAGCCCAACGCCTCGTCGTAACCAACTTCTAGTAAGTAACTTTACCTCAATAATCAGAGAATTTGTAATTAATTGCTATGAAGAATAATGTGTTTGCCCAATAGAGGTTCTATGTCAAAACACAATTAATTAATATTTCCAAGGATAGAAAAGCAATTATATATTTTTCCAAAAAATAATATTTGTTCCGTTAGATACAGTTGGTGGTAATTAAGCAATCGACTTGTTTAGGATTAACCTTTAAAGGTGGAGATTTGTACGTACAATCGTGGACAGAAGTAATCTCCCCCCTTAGATACGTCAACTTTAGAAAAAGTACAAATATGTCAGTTCCTCCATGATTTAGTTCAATTTCATTTCGATTTTAGAGACTTTCGTCATTTTGAAAAGAAGCTCAAAACTCACAGGAGGGCTGGTAGATTAATTATGTGCTACACTTGAGTTGAGATAATCGAGGAACATTAATTCTGTCCAAAACCGTATGTACAATTGTTTCATAAAGCGAAATGAAAAAGTTTCAAAAGTCAAAAAGAGATAGATGGATACTTAACGTAACTTTTCTACCTAACAACAATAAGGTCGTAAATTCTAAAGCATGGAAACGTTACGTTGGCCGCTTAAAATAGGTAGGTAATCCATCCATCTCCTTTTAACTTTTGAAGAATTTTTTATTTCACTTATGATATCAAATGCACGAACTACCGTCATTAATACATTTTAATTATTATGTTTAAGTATTTTGTACAGGGTGGTCCAAATTGGACACTTTCTTATGGAAACGCTCTTTATTTTAAGAGGGAAAAAAATGAACCTAAGTATCTGAGGCTCAATTTTAAAAAGAAAATCACTGGCGCAAATAGAATTCAGCTCCTTCTAATCGTTTGGCCGCTAGGGGGCGTTTCTTGAATTTAGTCAATTTTTTAATGCTTCATAACTTTGATAATTGATTTTGGCAAAATCTTTCTTATACATATGTAGATATACAGTTTTTATACGGGGGGTTTTTGTAATACGACCCTGAACTACATTTTTTCATATGGACTACCCTATATATTATATTACTTATTTGTTTCTTTCATATGAGTCTTCACGTCCTTTGTATTTGGTGTGTTATTTGAAATTAAAAATATTTGTAATTAATACAAATTTTTAAATGCCCAAGAAATTATCATTTTAAACAATTCTGCCGTATTTTGTTCGCCATGGAAACCTAGATGTTCGCAGTACAAATATTTTAATGTAGAAAAAGCAATATTGGAAACAACATGCAATATAAATATAACAAGTGATACATCAAAATTTAGGAAATTTTACGCTCTTTTCAAAAACTCCAAAATATATAGGCCCATATGAAAAAATGTAGTTTAATCGTATAGGAAAAACTATCAAAACTAAACTGTGAATCGCGATGGATTCTACATAAAAAAGTGCCATAAGAAAGATTTTGATAAAATCAATTATCTTGAATACTTGTAATAAGAAAGTTATAGCGCATTAAAGAAATCGCCTAAATTCGAGAAACACCCCCCACCGGCCAAAGGGTTAAAGATAGTCAAATTCTGTTTATGCCAATGATTTTCTCTTTAAAACTGAGCTCCTGACATCTAGTTCTATTTTTTATATCTCTTAAAATAAAGGGTGTTCCATAAGAAAGTACCCACCTTGTACATACAGTAAGGCAATAAACTGATCGTCTGCGTTTTTTGGCAACACTTTCCATGCGAGATAATCTAAATGAGATTGCAAAGTGTGCGTTGGAACACCACTCATTTTTTTGTAAATTTTCACTTTGGCGTCTAACCAGGATCTTTCAATTCCTAGGTATGCGCACCTGTTTGATGGGTCACATAACATTGTTGATGATTAATTTTTTGGATGCGCGTAATCTAATGGTGTTCCAATTCATCAGCCTGAAGCGATGAACCAAACATCAACCTCCCTTTGTATGTCTTCCCTCTTCTTTCGACACAAAAATATTGGTGGTCTGACACCCTTTTCTTGGCCAACGGTAAACTGGCCTGTATTCTCAACCACGGTCTCTTTTCCCTTTTTCTTGCATTTCTGCACCACATCGATGACACAACCCAGCATATTCCACAGCGCACAGCAATCCCTCCATTCCTGCGGGCAACGAAATCAGATGAATCATTTTATACAAAAATGGGTCTTTATTACACAATTTCAAAAACAATTAATTAATTTGCCGAAGAATTTGTTATTAATATGGTACCTACTCCAGTGAAAGTACTTAATTACGAGGGCGTTGTAGGGAACCCTATGCGGAATAGTGTGCAATTTAACCTAGAAATGGACTATTTTTAAGTATAACAAATTAACTATAATGAATAAACAATTTTGGGTGTAGATCGCTTATTGAATCACGTATTGGACACGATCTTAACATTTACAAGAGATATAAAAAAAATCTCAAAACCATATCATAGTAAACAACTTTGGATACACAATAGAGACCGTATAATTGGAGCAGCTATGGTAGACCGCATATCGAACCAGATACCTTGTGGTAGACCGCACATCTAACTGGGACCCTTTGATGACTGTAATAAGTAATAACATTCTGAGTTCATGTTTAGTATTGCAAGTGATATCTCGATCAAGTACACTATACGTCCTGCCAGCACTATTACTGCATCGCCAAAGTTACCTCATGGGAGGTCATTTAATTATACAGGAAATTAATTAACTGTTCCATTTGAGGTCTGATTTAATTAGTTGTCTATCCGTGAACAAAAGCAATCAACTGGGTTTAGGACTAATTAATATCTATTCTGGCGCTTGGATCAGTTACAAATGACAATAACGCAAACATTTAGTCGAGTCATTTTATGTTAGCGGAAGAACCGATCAATTCCATCTCATCTGCCGTTTCGCCGCAGTTTATTAATGAAATTCACTTCTCTCCTTACGACAATCATTATGAGTAATAGTACTATTCAACGTACCAGACCAAAGCTATATTGATCGTCACATTCCCTCCAAATTTTACACCCATTATTATAAACTTTATAAAATTAAGCAGTGGAATATATTGCTCAGGTTGGTGTACCTATAAATAGTTACTAAGAAAGTTTGTCAAATTCGAATTACCGTGCCCAACTTTGTAATCGAAGAACATTTTGCTTGTGTAGGTATCTTAGATAATAGGTACTGCATATTCCTTTTGATTTAGTTCCCAAACGATAATACCTATCTTATACAAATTTCAAGAGAAGCTTTGCCCTATTCATTTGCCCACGCCAAATATTAGTATACGGGGTGTTCAGTGAAGAGTGGGACAGCGATATTTCGAAAACTAATTCAGATTTTAACATTCTAAAAACTTTGTTTTAAATGTAAGCTAGGGCCATATATTTTGTGATAAAAGGTATTTACATTAAATGCGTTAACGGCAGGTGGCGCTAACTAACTTCATTCTTCTAAATGGAATACCCTTTTTTTTATTAGATTTTTGGAATTTACGACATATTTGTTATAACTTTACTAATAAGTGCTACCACCCTATCTCGTTTAGTTTTCGGGAAAATAATAAAACAAAAATAACTGCTTTAAAAAATCGAATTAATAAAGATAACCTGATAAATTGCATATCAATTCAATGATAAAAGATTGTATTCTCATCATATAATACATTTACGCATTTAAGTAGGCACTTAGATACTTATTATTTTCCCGAAAAGTAAACAAGATGACTATGCGAGGCGGCGCAGCCCTCGAAGCCGAAGATATGTTCGCTTGTTGAGTGAAAGATGTTATTAGTTTCAAAGAGGTTTAATTGAATGGATTTCAGATTCATAAGTCCTTAATGTTTGGCTTGTGAGCAGTAGACTTAAGGTATAAAATTGAGAATACCAACTAAGAGATGAGTTACGATATAGAAATATTAAGCATTCACCGCTCGATGCCATGATGATAGCATTCACACGGTTCTAAAAGCTTGACTTAAAATCAACTAAATTATTGCGCCACAATGGAATTCTTTGGAAATTAACCGAATTTTTGGGAGTTCAATAGAATTATTTTGCAGATTTCGAAATCTGATGAAATTTTTGTTGAATTTTGGAATTCTTTTACACTTTTGAAATTCTTGTGTACACATTTTTGCTCAATGGTTTACCCCTCGGAGTCCTCTCGGTTCCGAAAGCTCCTTGAAGGCGTTTACTGTCTCTTGAAGACCATTAAAGTTCGTAAATGGCTCAAATGTGCTCAATGAAATCTCTTGGGGATACTTCCCAAGCTAACAGAAGAAGAATCTCAAAACAGGGACACGGACTTTAAAAACCCTAAAACAAACCAGAAACCTCTTACAGAATTTTTGAGAGTATCCGCCACTATTATACTTTTAAATTTCTTAAAGACCCATAAGAAAGATGACCGATTTTTTATGTAAAGTATTCTGATACATAGTGAAGTAGAGAAAATCATGTCTGCCAGCGAGATCCCGTGGATTAAGGTTGGGAGGGCTGGTCAAATATGTAAAATTCTAATAAAAATATAATATGTTACAATATATTATGAAATGAATAGTGTAATATTGTTCAATTTAAAATTTCTTCAAGAACTAAGGTAATTACTCAAAAAAATTGTTATGGATTTTTTTGTAGTTTCTTGTGCTACATTAGCCAGAAGATGAACTTTAAACTTTTAACACCTTCAAAAACCCTGAAAATGGTAACGGACCGAAACCAAAAGAGGTCGTTTGCGATTTCACATGCAATCCTGGAAACATTCCAAATTTCATCAAAATCGGTTTAGGCCATAGATCATAGACCATAACAAAAAAATTTTTATAATCATTTTTGCACACACTGGCCAATGCGGCATACAAAACCCTACAAAAAAGTTGATTACAGTTTTTTTGTGTTTCTTAGCTTTTTAGTAATTCTAAATTGAAAAATTAAACCATTTTTTTTATAATTTTTTTTAATTTGCACATTTTTCGAAAAGTAAGGTACCATAACTAAAAATGTTACATACAAAAAAGATTTGCCTTGATAAACTGTACACAAAAGTTTCATCCATTTTTTGTGTCGGGTTCAAAATAAAAGCGCCAGAGATAAATGTAGTCGGAAAATCAGCAGTTTTATTCAAATTTGACATATTTGACCACTCTTCCCAACTTTAAGCCACGGGACCTCCCTGGCAGAAACGATTTTTTCCACTTTACTATGTATCAGGATACTTTTACACAAAAAATCAGCCATGTAGCGATAAGTCACTTTTTTCTGTAGCCAGCTCTCCGCTTATAAGTGCTCCTCCTAAAAGCCAGTAAAGAGACACTATAGGACTTTGTTAAGGGCGTTAAAGGTTTTGCAAAGTTTCGAAAGCTCTTGACAACTAGATGTTTTGAAAGGTTCTTAAAGACGAAAGGTCTATGAACTAAAGACCCCTTGGATACTTGAAAACCCTTAAAAACCATCAAATACTAAGGAATTCCATTAAAGTTTGACCCTTAAAGTTTCTAAAGTATTTTTGAAGGTTTTAAAGATCCTAAAGGATTCTACAAAACCTTTTCAGGTAATTGCTCTCAAACACCCACACAAGTCCTCCAAAGCTCGGGTTTTAAAGAATGGAGAAAGTCTCAATGGAGTCTCTTGGAAAATGGTTAGGACTTTTAGGGATCATTTTTAAAAGCTTTTGAGGATCCATAAAATCTCTTAAAGGCTGTTCAAGAGAAACGTTTTAAAGCGTATTAAAGGCTTTTGAAGTTTACTCCGAAACACTGAAACTCCAATTGAAGACCCTCAAAACCCGTAGAGATTTCCTTAGAGTATCTAGAGATCCCTGGAAACCGTTTTGGAGACCCACTGAGACTCTTTTAAAAGGTCTTAAAAATGTTGAAAACTCTACAACGATCTTAGAGGCCCCTATACTCACTTGGATCCTATCTGGCTAAAGAGTTTTAAAGACTCTATGATTAAGGAATTTGAGGTATTATTATTAGCCCTTAAAGGTCGCCAGATGGGTTTGAAGAGCAGATAGGTGTAGAGAAACCAAGTATCCAGACATTTACAAAATTTACAAAAAAAATGAACGTTTTTAGCACGTTATTTCTCAAGTTTAACACAAATAGGTACGTTTTCATTGAGTTCTCCCTCAAAATTTGTCGTCGTATGGCGGAGTAGTTACCGCTGGTGCCCGGGGCGGCCAACCAAAATTGCGCCCTCATACTCCCCCCCCCTCTTCTACAAGTCGCTACCAAATTAACAGTGCTTGGTAGGCACCATGAAAACAGATACGTACAAGTTGTTCCAAATTGCTTGTCTTCGATGTTTTTCGGCGATATTTTGAAAACTAAAAGAGATAGAAAGAGGCGGTTGGCACTTTTCGTACTTACTTTTCAAAGTTTCAACGATGTCAATTTTGACATATGCCTTTTGCGAACGTAGCAGTCCAAAAGTCCAAAAATGCAATAAAGCTCAGTTATTTGTGGGAAGATCGAAAAAGTATCAAAAATTATCGTTATGTAAAAATAGTCCCTTATTAAGGGCCTGCTTAGTTTTTAACAGACCGCACAAAAGTTTGTTCAAAATATCCCCCAAAAAAATCGAAAACGAGCAATTTGGATTGCTCCGGCCGCCCTCCCTTTCCGCCGCCACTGCGTATGCCATTGTCAGCAGTCGCCGGATTATCGCAGCGGTTGCATGGAAATTTGTTCGTAATGAGATGAATGGTATGTGGATGCTGATGTAAGCAATAAGAAATGGGAGATGATTTGCCATGTCATTGTAGATTTAATTGCTGTAAAAATGCGATCCTTATTTATGCCTACAGAAATTGAGGGAGAGGGTACTTTGCGCAATGCAATTGACGGGGAAGTATTTAATATCGATAAAATGCGTCTTTTATCGCAAGACGAAGACAAAATGATATCTCTATCGCACATATTTTTCATTGTTTTCACTTAGAAAATTTAGCTAGAGATGGATACGAATCGTTTGCTGACGTAAAGATTTTCTTCCCTACAAAAATGAACAATCTAATTCCTCCTTCATATATCGTAAATATTTAATCCGCAAAATTAACACGTGCAACTTAACAACAGTATAATACAGGCCCATAGCCAGGTGGGGACGAAACATGGTTTGGCCCCATCTATACAA